AGGGGGGCAAGGCTCTGTTGGGGCGTCTTGGAGGCATGTCGGATGCTATCCTGAACCGTAGCACCTTAGGGCCATTTTCAAGATGGCCCAAGGTGGAGCGTTACGTCATAGGGGGGGAGCGCCCTGGAGGGGGGGAGCGTTACGTCATTAGGGGGGGGGGAGGGGAGCGGGGGCCATGACGCCCGTCATGCCCCAAGCAATAAAGAGACGGGCTCTTGGAGGCCACATTGGGCTCTCGGAGGCCCTCCTGGGAGCCCTCCTGGACCGCAAGGCATCCTCCGACACCTCGCGGGGAGGGAGGCCACCTCACAACCCAGCGACACCCCCCTGCTCGTCCGCCTCCGGCTCCGTCTGTTGGGCCGGGCGCTGGCGCGCCCTGGCGCGGGGCGTCGAGGAGCAGAGGCCACGAGCAGCGAGCCACCAGGCGCGCGAGAGCGTGCTGCGGACGGAGTGTCCAGGAGCAGGCGCCCCGATCAAGAAGGGCGCGCGAGAAGCTCGCTCTCGCTCTGCTCGCTCACCGGTTCCCTCGCCAACCCACCGGAGCACTCATACGCTGCCTCCTGATTTCCCCTCCTGTCCTCTCCTCTCTCCTCCCTCCTCCTCTCAAGCCTTTTCTTGCGGCTTGCTGATTTTCGTCGTTCCTTCATGCTTCCCCTCCTCCCCATGCTGGTGCATGTGTTTAGTTCTAGGGGGCGGAAGGAGGAAAAGGAGGAGAAAAAGAGCGAGGGAGGAGATAGCAGAACATGAACAGCAACATGATGAGGAGGGGAGAAGGCTGGGGGGCGAGAAGGGCGGGGGAAGGGGGAGAAGGGCAGAGGGGAGACGACGACGACGACGGCGAAGATGGCGGCGACGACGACGACGACGGCGACGACGAAGACGAAGACGGCGGCGACGACGACGACGGCGAGAGGAAAAAGAGGGGTCGGACAAGACACTTTGAAATCTCCCTCAACCTATGCTGAGCAAGGAAGGCTCATGATCCTCAACGTGGTCCAACCAGCCAGGTACGACCCAGCGCGCTGAATATGTACCCTGCCGATCGGTGCCCCGATTGATTCGCCCGATCACACGCCATCGACAGATCAGCCAAACCATCGGTATGATCGAGCTCCGATCGACGGCTCAAAAAACCTAAGTTTATGTCGAAGCAGGTCAGGACGGTGACCGGCAGCGTGACCAACACCTTGGGCGGCAGAGAAGTGCCGCGAGAAAAACAGAAAGTCCTACGTAGCTTCTCCACACGACCCCCAAACCCCCTTCCCAGGGACGAGCTTTCATCCCGAGCCGTTGTTTGACGGTGTCGGGGCCTGGTAGGGCCCCCGGAGGCCGAACACGGCCAAAAACCATACGTCGTGTTTTCTCACTCCGCGAAGAAGACGATGCGAGGAAGTCTGGCTTTCAGATGATGTTGGCATCTTCGGTAACACGAAAACCATCACATAAAAACATATATATATATATATATACATAGAGAGAGAGAGAGAAAGAAAGAAAGAAAGAAAGAAAGAAAGAAAGAGAGAGAGAGAGAGAGAGCGACGCCATCCCGCGCGCCCCCGATGTGAAAGCTCAGATTCGCGCGCAGGCCGCAGTTTGCAAAAGGTGGGCGTTCCTGCCGAAACGGCCTGCACTCCCGCGGGGGTCGACCGCCGCAAGCTTTGAAAATCGGGGCCCGAGGCTTGGCCCCGCTGTAATAAATATCCTCGGGGCGGGCATGCGCACTGCGGGGCACCCAGTGGTGAGAGATGCCAAGCTCTTTTAGCCTGGGGTGTCCAAACACCCAGAATGCAGAAAACTGTGAGTTGAGAGAGCTTGGTACGTGAGCTCGCTTCATCGCCCGCCAACCGCCCGCCGCGCAACGTTCCCGAAGAATCTGAAAAATTTGGCGAATCCAATACAGAATCCCAGACCAGCGCTGTCGATCGGGACATCATCACAAAAATCGCCCTCCCGGGGAGGGGGGGGAGAGGGGAAAGGGGGAGGGGTCGGAGGGGGAAAGGCGGGACGGGGGGGAGGAAGGAGGGGGTAAGAGGGGGGGTAAGTTGGGGGGGGAGGAGGAAGGAAAGAACGGGGAAAGACGGGGGATTGGAGGGGGGGGGATGGGAGAGCGGGGCGCATGGGTGCAGAACGCATGCCCGATCAACCGCAGAGCGGCTGCTACTCGCATCGTCATCAGCCGTGCGCATGCGGTTTCTGGGAGTGGGCGGCAAAACCAAGAGCCAGGAACACGTCGACGGGCCAGGTAAACAATCAATGCTGCACTGCTGCATCACCTGGCGCGAGAAAATACATAAAGTGACCGAGGGCTCACCTACTACTCAACGTGTAGCAAGGAGACTTACTCCACATCTTCGATTCCGACCGATTGATAGCGGCACAAACTATCGCGCTCACAGTGGCGCCGAAATCATATAATTACCCAACTCGGAAGCTTCAAAGTCCAGAATGCGCCGTCCATGTGCCCAGCAACAAGCACAACGCAAATGCAGCGACAGGAAACAACAAACAAATGACATCTCAGACGCACGCTATCTCCGTAAAGCAAAGCAGCGAACACATATGTAAAACAAGACACGCACACAACGCACTTTGACATGATGGTTAGGCTAAGCAGCAACAATTGTTCAGCAAGCCCTGCGACAAAAAATGAAACGGATCGGGATCAGCCGGGCGATGGAGAATCGCGCTCAGACGTGCTTGGACGTTGTCGGCGCCATCAAGGGCTCCGCGGGCGTCTGGGCGCAAACGAAAACCATGCGAGAACGACCAAGAAAAAAACAAGGTTGGCCCGAAAATCCACGTGGGGGAGCAAGAACCCTTCATGACTGTTGGTGCAGCTGCATTGAGTGGCACGCGATGGAGGAGGCCGATAGGAGGGGAGGAGGTGAGGATGGAGGTGAACGCGAGTGGTCAGTCTCCGTGCCAGTACCAGCTGCGGGTGACTGTCTGGGCGGTCTATGTGCGAGGAGCGTCCGCGCGACCAACCTCCTGAGGGTCCTGCGGCCTGGTGCTTGAGACTGGCGAGCTGCACTTGTGTACATGGGGCAACCGGACATGCTCGCGATGAACGTGCCAAAGACCAGCTGCGCGGTGTCAAATTCCAACCTCATGGGTACAAGAAGAAGAAGAAGAGGAAGAAGCGGCATAAACATAACAGGGCCTGGCGCAGATCCAAGAAATCCGCGCGGAGCGCCCAAAGTTTATGTTCATGCCGTTTTTTCTTCGAATGGAAGAGGCGACGCAACGAGTGTCGCCGCGGTGCTGGTGCAGGCAGCAGCGACCGAGCCCCAAGCCGCCACCCGAAGTGGCACTGGGAGCCCGCCGACGTCGCCGCGGGAGCAGTTGGTCCAGCACTCGGCTTGTGACGACGACGGGTTACCTGGCCAGGAGTGGTGGGCAAGACTGCCTCGGGACAATTCGACAAGTTCGGGGGTTGCTCAAGGTGCCCCTGGCCCAAGGTGCCCCCCAGCTTTTCGCTCCATTCTGGATCCCCTGGGGTCCTGCGGGTCTCGTGATGGGGTGCTCTGGAGGCCGTGGGGGCCTCCTGAGAAGTCCTAGGGGCACCTGGGGCCAGGGGCACTTCTAGCAACGCCCGACAAGTGGAGCCCCCACGTACGCGCAGCTCCCAGGCAGGCTCCGCGGTGACGTCCCCTCCAGGCGGGGACGAGGTCGCTGGAGAGACACCTCGGTGCGCCCGGGAGCAGGAAGAGCGGAGAGCGGTCTTGGTGCTGGGCCTCCTGTTCCTCTCTCGGCGGCGAGCGAGGCGGGGAAGCGAGACGGGAAAGGTCCTCTCAGAAGGCGGCGGGACTTCTCAGAAGCCCTCGCGCCTGCTGAGAGTTTCTTTTTCTGTCTTCGGTGAAAGCTTAGACAACTTCTCAGAAGGCCGGGGGACTTCCGAACCTCCTTTTCCTGCTCACTTCCCCCCTCGCTCGTCGCCGATCCTCAGCACCAGCTGCGAGGCCGCGACGCGTTCATAAATTCACACTGCATGGACGCGTCGCGTGGTTCTGGGGCAGGGGGTCCAGGATCGAATCGATGAGTCCGATCGGCGATCGAGATGAGTCCACCGACCCTGTCGGCGTGTGTGAGGGGCTTATCTCTTCGAGTCGTCGTCTCCGTCACTCGTTACGTCTCTGTCGCCGCCCTTCCCTGCGCCCCTCGTTTCCCTGGGCCCGTCGCCGCTCCCCCCCCCTTCCCTGGGCCCTCCGAAGGCTCCTCAAGCGCTGGGCCCGTCGCCGCTCGCCAGAAATGGCCCCTGGGGGTGCACCGGGGGCCCGCGAGGCGATTGTGCATGGACTTCTCGCGCGAGCGAGGGCACCGCATCGGGACACGCCCGGCGCGCCAACGGCGCTTCTGGCGCACCGCCGAAAAATGTCCCCCAGGGGTGCGCTAGGGGCCCGCGGGGCGACATTGCGAGGATGTCTCAAGCAAGGGCGCCGGATCGGGACAAGCGCCCTGCCCCGACTCCGGACCCGCCCTTCTTTGGGCAAGTAGGGCTTTGAGTTTCCGCCTTACTTTTCAAGCCCCGCTGATGCCAATTTCCGCCCTACTTTTCTGCTGCTGTTTCCGCCCTACTTTTGTGGATTGCCGCCCTACTTTATGTTGGGTGCGTGACCGAACGTGCGTCATGGGAAACGCATTGGATGTGTTCCGTGCTGCGTGGCTGCGGCATGGTTCAGACATCTTTTTCCAGGTCTTATAAGCCTGGTGCGCCCGGCACGCCCGGCGCATCGCTGAAAACGGGCGCTGGGGGTGCGCTGGGGGTCCGTGGGGCGATTTTGGGAGGATGTCTCGAGCAAGGGCGCCGGATGTGGAAACTCCCGGCGCGCCCGGCGCATCGCCGGAAATGGTCCCCAGGAGTGCGCTGAAGACACGTGGAGCGATTTTGCAAGGATGTTTCGAGCGAAGGGGCCGGATCGGGACACGCCTGGGGCGCCAAGCGCGCCTGGCGCATCGCCGGAAATGGTCCTTGGGGGCGCGCTGGGAGGCAACGCTCTCGCGCGCCAGGGGTCCGGATGATGTGATTTCCGAAGAGAGTCCCTCAAATTATAACACGCGTTTTGCCCTGTTCGGGTCGCGTGGCCAGCAAGAGAAAACAACCCGCGGTGACGAACTGGTCTTGGGGATGGGGCCGTATGCCTTGAGGCCCGCGACATTCAAACCAGCCAAGCAGCGCAGGACTGCGCTTCTGGCGATCCCCACTGAGGAGCAGCAGCAAATGGTTTCGAAATTTGTCGCGTTTGACTCTAAAGCGCGATACGTTACATAGTTGTTGACGCATGGTCCTCGCACGTGCATCTATGAGTGTTACATGTGCGCCTGTTGACTCATGTGCTGTGTTCAACACGAATTAAAGCTATATGGCTGGCGCATGTTCAGAGCCAATACTTTGCACTCGTAGTGCCGTCATGCTTCCATGTTTGATGTTGATGTCCGTTGCAGATGAAGGCGACTTCAACATAACAGCGATGGCTTGAAACCCCTGGCGTGTGTTATGGCGCTGTCGTCTTCATATATGTGTTTGGTATCTACTAGTGTTCCAAAACTACTGGCGTATGACTATGACGTGTGGATGCGACTGACGTGCGGCACTGGCACATGTAGCTGAAGTGTGATGATGGTATGATGTTGATGTACGTTACCAGCGTATGGTATGGATGTCTGTGTTTGATGCATGCCACGGTTGTGATCCTACTGCAAGAAAGCCGTGTACATTCAAAGTGCGTGATAGCCCATGCCCCTGGTGCATGTGATTGCGGACGGTTTAATGATGTGGTGTTGGTGTGATATTGACACATGTCATGCGTGTTTGCTAGTGGCGATACTGGTATTCGTGTTCGTGATGTACGTTTTGGTGGACGTCCTTGGTATGTATGCGCCACGCGCGTGGTTAATGCATGTTTTTGATTGATGCGAATGGTGTTCGCTACTGTTGTCCAGGTTAGGTATGTCACTGGAACGTGGAACGCCTGTCTTCTTTTGACGTGCGCTATTCGTGTCAGTTGGTGGTACCTGTTGGTGCAGTATGTTCTGGGTGCGTCTCATTGATGACGCCTGTTCGTTGCGTGCGTGTGCCATTGAACCATGGTCTTGATGTCTGTCATTGGTGGATGTTCTTGGTGTGTGATTCTCACGGATGTGCGCCACTCATCTGTGTTCTTGAGGTCTGTCCTAGATGACTGTGGACGGCGTGACGACGCGACGCCTGGATGGCGTGACGCCTCCCGAGTGGGGCTCGCGAGGTGGGCTCCCCAGGAAGTTCCCCGGGACTTTCGGGCCCGGCGGGCGCGGCGCGCTGGGCGGGCGAGGCCGGCCACGACGCCGCGACGCATCCCCGAGCGCGCTTTCTTTGCCGAACGGCAGGCTTGATTTCTTTTTTGGGGGGAAAGAGTCGGGTACCCGGAAGCGAGGAGCCGCCTGCGATCATCGTGCACACCGACCAGGAGGTGGACGCAAACTCGATGCACGATACGAAAGCTGATTCCCAACGCTGCGCGCCGGATCGGGACACGCCTGGCGCGCCAAGCGCGCCTGATGCATCGCCGGAAATGGTCCTTGGGGGCGCGCTGGGAGGCAACGCTCTCGCGCGCCAGGGGTCCGGATGATGTGATTTCCGAAGAGAGCCCCTCAAATTATAACACGCGTTTTGCCCTGTTCGGGTCGCGTGGCCAGCAAGAGAAAACAACCCACGGTGACGAACTGGTCTTGGGGATGGGGCCGTATGCTTTGAGGCCCGCGACATTCAAACCAGCCAAACAACGCAGGACTGCGTTTCTGGCGATCCCCACTGAAGAGCAGCAGCACATGGTTTCGAAGTTTGTCGCGTTTGACACTACAGCGCGATACGTTACATAGTTGTTGACGCATGGTCCTTGCACATGCACCTATGATTGTTGTATGTGCGCCTGTTGATTCATGTGCTGTGTTCAACACTAGTTAAACCTATATGGCTGACGCATGCTCAGAACCAATACTTTGCGCTCGTAATGCCGTCGTGATTTCATGTTTGATGTTGATGCCCGTTGCAGATGAAGGCGACTTCAACATAACAGCGATGGCTTGAACTCCCTGGCGTTTGTTATGGTGTTGTCGTGCTCATGTGTATGTTTAGTGTCTTCAACTGCTTCTAAATACTGGCGTATGACCATGACGTGTGGATGTGACTGACGTGCGGCACTGGCACATGGAGCTGAAGTGTGATGATGGTATGATGGTGATGTGCGTTACCAGCGTATGCTATGGATGTCTGTCTTGATGCATGCCACGGATGCGATCCTACTGCAAGCAAGCCGTGTGAAGTCCAAGCGCGTGATAGCCCATGCCCCTGGCGCATGTGATTGCGATAAGTTTAATGATGTGGTGTAGGTGTTCACACATGTCATTGATGCGTGTTTCCTGATGGAGTTACTGATACTCGTGTTCGTGATGTACGTTTTGGTGCACGTCCTTGGTATGTGGGCGCCACGCGCGTGGCTACTGCATGTTTTTGATTGATGCGAATGGTGTTTGCTAGTGTTGTCCAAGTTTGGTAGATGTTATTGGCGTGGGTCCTTGGCGTTCGTTGTTGGTGTCTGGTCTGGGCGTTTGCTACTGATGTGTTATGGTGATGCATGTTCACTCTGCGAAGCAATGATTGGCGGCCTTGATGGTTGCGATTGGCGTATGTCGCTGGAACGTGGACAGCCTGTCTTCTTCTGACGTGCGTTATTCGTGTATGTTGGTGGTATATGTTGGTGAAGTATGTTCTGGGTGCGTGTCATGGATGACGCCCGTTCGTCACGTGCGTGTGCCATGAACCATGGTATTGATGTCTGTCATTGGCGGATGTTCTTGGTGTGTGATTCTCACGGATGTACGCGATTTGTGTTCTTGAAGTCTGCTCTAGATGACTGTGGACGGCGTGACGACGCGACGCCTGGATGGCTCGCGAGGTGGGCTCCCCAGGAAGTTCCCCGGGACTTTCGGGCCGGGCGGGCGCGGCGCGCTGGGCGGGCGAGGCGCGCGGCGGGGGGCCACGACGCCGCGACGCATCCCCGAGCTCGCCTTCCCTGCCGAACGGCAGGCTTGTTTTTTTTTTGGGGGGGGGGTTAGAGACTCGGGGACCCGGAGGCGAGGAGCCGCCTGCGATCATCGTGCACACCGACCAGGAGGTGGACGCAAACTCGATGCACGATATGCAAGCTGATTCCCAACGCTGCGCGCCACAGCACCCAGACGTCCAACGCGCCGGCGACCCCTCGCGCGCGCAGTCCAGCCTCCTTCGGCGGGACGGTGGATGGATCCCGCAGAGGGCAACCCCCACCAAGCCGCAGCGTGCTGGGTTCGGTCGGCCACCCCGCCCAGGTCGCCGCCGTAAGGTGCGTAGCCTCGTTGCGGGTGGCTCTTCCTTCCCGGCCCCTCGCCCGGCCTGTCTGCTTGCGGTTGCTCCCCCTCCCTTCCTCCTTGTCCTCCTCGTCCCTCCTTTTCTGCTCGTTGCTTCCCTCCTTGTTCCATGCCTGCTGTCTCCGCCTGGCCCGTTTTCTGCCTGCCCGCCCGCCCCACCGGCCCTGGCCTCCCGCCTGGGCGTTCGTCGTCGTCTGCCTGCTTCTCCCCCCCTCGTCCCCTTCCGCCAGGCAGCTCGGCCTGCCCGGGACCAGCGTGGCGGCATGTAGGACTTAGGCACACGCTGTGAGACGGGAACGCATCATTCTGCTCAGTACTCAGCAGTTTTCTATGTGCGTTTCTGTAGCACTGGTGAATTCAGAAATTCGAGGAGGCTGATGCGCACATGCAAGCTGCAGGAAACATGCAAAAGGAACCTGACGAGTAGGAGAGGCCTAGCGAGAGGCCTAGCGAGGCCTAGGCCTGCCGGATACCAGCCGCGGGGGCCGCACCCCCCCTCTCTCCTTAGGTCGGGCGTGTCCCCCTACAGAAGGATTTGTTGCGAAAAATAGAAAATACTAAAAAAATGCCCCCCAAATGCTCAAAAACACTCAAAAAATTGCCCCCAGACAGTTGTTTTACTATTTTTGGATATTCCCCCTGTAGAGGGACACGCCCGACTGAACTCTCTCCCGGCGGCACATGGGGGGTGCACCAGCAGAGCGTAGAGGCCGACGACGTAGATCAGCCCCAGGAGCGCCAGGGGCACTCCGACCTGCGCCCCCGTCTTCGCCCCGGCCCCTGCAGGCCCAGGGCACGCAGAGGGCGGAAGAGCCACCCGCGCAACAAGCACCTCCCCACAACCGAGCCCTTCAGCGAGCGCGCCGGAGGAGGAGGAGGAGGAGGAGGAGGGAGGAGGAGGGAGGAGAAAGAGAGGAGGAGGAGGAGGGGAGGAGGGGAGGAGGAAGGAGGAGGAGAGGAGGGAGGAGGGAGGAGGAGGAGATGACAGAGCCGATGAAGGATCCAGGCTGTTTCAATGCACGTGCAGGGCCGGTTGGCAAGCGTCATCCATGGGGTGTCGGGGTGCTCTCTCCTCCCCTGACAGGTGATGACAAGTGGGGGGGAGGGCGGGACAACCCAAGGCCTGGTCCCGACCGCCAGCTCGCGGAGCTTACGCGGCCGGACTCGGCAAGATCCCGGGACGGAAGGTGGTAGCGCGCGGCACCTCAGCGTACAGACCGTCACTTGGTCTCGAGCTGCGACGAAGCCAGGACGAGGATACATTCGGGTGAGGACAAATCGAACATCTCAGAGATCTGGCGGCTCTGGAGGATGTCTCGGGCGCCGAGGCTTCCTCAGAGCGTTCCCGAATGCTCTGAGAGCGTTCTGGAGCGCTCCGAAACGGATCTATCCTCGTCCCAGCCCTGTCCGACGAGCCCTCCCCGGCCCCCCCTCGTGCCTAGCCACGCTACAGTTCGCCCCTGCCGGCCATCGTTGCCCGCGAAAGTTCCCAAATACGCCTCCCGCTCCTGCTCCTGCTCGGCCGTGCTGGGCGCACATCGCTCAGCGCATACTTCTAGCAACCGTGCTGACGACCGAAACAGCAGTCTACTGCCAGGCCCCAGGAGCAGTTTTGATC